ATGACGTTCATGCAAAGCCCTAATTCATAAAGAGCCATAATTAAAAAAGATACCAAAATCTAAAAATCATGAACCCTATACATGCAAAGAACTCTAACTTATCACTAAAATTCGTAATTGGTGAAATATAAGTCAAATTCAAAGTTTGTTAGCATCAACCAAATCCAAATTCTGAAAAAAAAAATCAAATTCAAGAAAAAAAAATTCAAATTTTGAAAAAAAAAGCCCTAAAATTGGAATTCTAAAAAGCTTACCTTATTAATGTCTTGGATGTAGAGGAGGACGGTTTGTCGGATGAAGATATTTTTTTTTTGATCCCGCCATTGTATCTCGATGGCCGACGACGAAGGGGCAAGCTTCCCGGAGATGATGGCCGACGACGGTGGGCACTTCACGCTTCACGGAGACAGAGGTCAAGGGCCAAGCTTGAAGAAGCCTTGGTTTTTGGAACGATGGCGACGAGGGAGATGGAATATTGAAGTTGCCGGAGATGAAAAATTTTGAGGGAAAAGTATGATCGTGTGCTCAGAGGAGAAAGAGAAATAAATCAATATCTTTTTTAGTTTTTAATTATTTTTTGTAAAAATAAATGGTTAGTTATAATATATATATATATATATATATATATATATATATATTTGTTAGGAAAGAGAAGGTTTTGTTAGGGAGTGCAATGAAAAAAAATAAAAAAAATTGAAGGTCTGAAGAGAAAAAGGAAATTGTGATTGGGTATTTATCTCCAATTGACCCATGATATAGTCTTCGTGATAAAATCAAAGACTATCCATCATTTAACTAGTACATTAACTCGCTTGGTTTATAGTCGATAATTATATTATTTAGGTTGAAATTACTTTTCTATCCTTCATTCAAAATTCAATTTTCAAACTTTGCCCTCAACACAGTGTCCCGACTGTTGCTTCAACGTCATCCTCTACTCAATCCCTCAACCTCAACCCCAATCCCCCGCGCTCCCTACACCAAATTTTTGTGCAAATTCACCCAACTTCAGCTCCAATCCCATGTCCCCCTCAATTTTATCGCAATTTCACTTTAAGATCGTAATTTTGGAGGAAATAAAAATTGCTTTGTCGCAAGAATAACAAGAGCCAAAATAGCCCTAACGCCTGCCCCCTCTGCCAATCTTGTTCGCCGCCCAGAAACGGTCACGGCCGCCGACGGATTCCCCCCCCATCTCTACCGCCGCCTTCGAGATCTACGAACCGAGAAAATTGGCCAATCCGAAAGTAAGCTTCATCTACTATACAGAAATATGTAGAAAGCTTGATTGAAATGAAAAGTTCAATTTACAGATGTTATTGCCTTACGAAATTAAAAGAAAAGAAAAAGATGAAGAAGAAAATGGGGTTAGGTTATCTGCTGCCAGACACAAGTTGGATTACATATGATAGTTATTTGGTAAATTTAAATCAATAATAGAGTTGAATTACACATCCCACCTCACGACTACGATACCTAATTCTAAAAATTGTTAATAATTAACCGGGCTACTGCATTTTAACGGGCTTGCATTGTACGAGCCAAACATCTTTATAGACATGAAATAATTATAAAACCGGATATCAGCCAACCAAACGGACCCTAAGGGGCGAGAAAATGAATCAAAAACTGAAGGGTCATATCTTCATTCTTGCTACAGTATGAGATTGACTTTCGGAATTTGCCGCTCCAAATATTCCAAAATTTTCGTCGTGAATTATATCCGCTCAACATTTCGACCCGTTACGAGAATTCAAAAATTTTCTCCAATTTAAGGCGTAGCCATGGCCGCTCAAGCCTGCTACGATAACCCTGACGAGTGGGAACTAATAACCGACGATGGCTACGTCTACAAGCGCAGGAAGCGCCCGCGCATCGACCCCGGCGGCGCCACCACCACCTCCTCCTCCTCCTCATCCGCTCACCCGCCGCCTGATCCAGCGGCGGAGAAGAAGCACCGCCGCGAACGGAAGAAGATGGCTCTGTTGAAGCTGAGGGACAGGTACTTAAAGGAAATCAGTCGGTGGGAACTTTTGTCGAACACGTTAAGGCAAATGGAGCAAAAAGCTCAAACGCCGTCGGTGGAGCAGAATCAGGAGCTGGATCCCTTGACGACGTCGTTTGGCGGGGTCTCCGTCTCGGAAGACGCTGGTGCGGGTTCGGATTCAACTCGCCGGAGACTACTTGATGATCTCCTCACTCAGGTAATAAGGCTCTATAATGCAGCAAGAGACTAATGACTCAATTTAACAATTGTCATAGCCGAAAATGGTCTTCTTTTCCATCCTTTTTTGAAGACAAATTTAACAGAATGAAAATTTTATTTTTTGTAGGTTGAAGCACAGGAAATCATAATTAAGGATGTCTCGAATTTATGCGATATAGCCGAAGCATTGTGCAGTGCGGAGGAGGAAAGATTGAAGCAGCAGCTTACCGATTTACCGATATGGGATCCTTCTCCACAAGAGCTCATGGCTGCTTTAGGTAAGCAATAGTGTCCTTGAGAAACATGTATTTGAACAAACAAAAGAACAAGGGGAAAAGAAAGTAGCAAATGGTAGAAATTGCACAATGGGGTCTCAGTTGTTCAATTTGTATCTAATTTGTATTCAACTGTAGTGGATGGAACTAGATTTGTGATTTAACCTATTGCATTTTGTAGAGTTTTTGCTGTTATTATTGAAAAAATAGGGTTGAGATTGGCAGGCTTGTTCATGATTATCTAATTATGAGAAAGGGCAGTTCTTTTTGATGAAACTGTAGATTACGGTTGAAATTGGCAAGGTAGTACATGATTATTCAAGTGTGAGAAAGGGAAATTCATACTTAGACGGGTGGATTCTCCTTTGTGCTCGAGTAATTTTGGAAACCATCGATATTTTTGTGCTCGAGTGATTCTGGAAGGTTTCTGATATCTCAAGCGAGAACGGAAAAGAGCTTGTGTGGAGCTATTGTAATTCGATTGCTGGTTTTCGTTTTTTTCTTTTAAATTTGTGGACAGATGGTGAGTGGTGTTTGAGTGTTTGTAGCTAGGTGTGAGCTCTTATAGCAGCAAATTGAATATTGTAGATAAAGTTTATTTGGTGATCTGTTATGCTTGTTTCGTGTGCATATGAGTTTTATGTTGATGAAATTGTAGCCTTTGTAGTCGAACTTGATGCAGTGCTACTCTTGTTGGTAGATAACAGAGAAAAAAAGAAAAGAAAAGAAAGAAATGCTTACATTTTTCCAATCATCCTGCATTTTTTAGTTGCTTGAAAAGATCTGCATCTGCTTTATTTTGTGGTATCTTTATTTTTGTGGTATCTTTACTGCCTGTTAATTTTAGCAGCATTATTGAAATGATAGTTTCAGATTTTCTGAGTGTGTATGTACTATTTAACTTTAACACATTGTCTGGGGCAAAACCTCCAAACCAAGGCAATTGTTTTGGTATTTTGGAAGATGGATGCTAGTAAAACTTTCTTATTTTTCGTAACATGGTCGGTCTTAAAGTTCGGACATCGAAGTTTGAGCTGGCACAAAACCTGGGATTCATGATCACAGTATTCATGAATCATAATTTCTAATTTGGTGCCAAAAAGGATATAATATTTTTTATGCATCACAAAACACAAGGGGAAAAAAAAAAAAGAATTAGAGTTTCCATCCAAATCTAGGTGGAAAAGAAAAAGAAGGGTAGTCACGAATCTCTTTCATCTTGTTGACATGGTTCCAAGGTCGATTTTGTTCATAAAAGATGGCACGACTTCAACCGGTACAAACATAAAACCAGCTTCTTTACATGCGCCCTCCAATTGCTTGGCTTGAGGTGGTCCTTGGGGGCAAAACACAACAACGGCTCCTCCACTGCCTGTAAATTTTGAAGCGGCACCAACACGTCTGGCAATTTCAACCATTTCTATGTTTAGGGCACCAAGGGCATCATCTCCAAACATTTGCCTGTGTTTAACAAAAAAAGAAATACTTAAATTCAGCATTAAAAACACAAGTGTTCATACTGTATGTCACTGAGGTCATTCGAAAGAAGTACATCAAAGATTAGAAGAGAAATAAAGGAAAAATGATGACCTACTATTAGTCTATTACAAGCAAAATCATATGACATTTATTAGTGCCTAACAAGTTACACTTTTTATGATTGCTTTACGAATATGAAATTTTCGAGAACCTTGATCCTTTGATCAAACCTTGAACTTGAAAACAGTAAGCGCTATCCCCATCTGAGAGGGATGAACTTAGCAATAGCTCCCAGCTCACTTCAGATAATTATAAGATATTTTTAAATACCTCTGCATCATTTGTTTCACAAATTAACTCAAAAAAGAAATGGGTGTTGGATAAATACAAACCTTAACTTGAAGGGTCTGAGAGCTTGAAACATAGTGGTGCGTTTTGTGATTAGGCGATAACGTCAATGGTAGTTTCACAATTGTCAAGGATATAGACTATGAAAATTATCATTTTTGCCCGACCGAAATCGAATCCCAAATACTATTTCCAAGGAAGGCCATGAAAAGCATACGAGTGGACTTGTACTCTGTTCTCTTTGTGAAACTCAACATATAATATTTATCTAAAAGCTAGTAGTCTGAAGTAAACCAGAAATCCCACCAAATAATATCGGGAAGCCTGTAACACCAAAGTTTTGGTCATACACTTACCTCCGCAAGTCAAAGTTACGGTTCATGAGGCCTGCAAATTTGGTATAATCCTTTTGGAGCAATGCTGTTCTTCCTTCCAATGCAATGCTCGCGACTTCCTCCATTGATGATATAATGAACTTGTCACCATTTAACCATCGTTGTCTAACCGTACTATGGACCTACAAATACAACCACCCTCCATCAAAAACATGCTTTGGGAGCCTGGCCATGAGATGGTCACTTTTTGAGAAAAATGAAA